AAAAGAAAAAAAAAGATTCAACATTTGCAAAATTTTAAGAAAGCATATCGGCCGACTTACATGTTATTTTTGAAAATAGTTATAATTCATAATCGTGAAACTCTGATGAGTAACAACAACATGTTTTTTCAGGTTCTGTTTTAATATTCTATATCACTCTACATGTTGCTCGCATAGTGTGAAACCCCGAGTAACAACATGTTGTTTTAGGTTCTGTTTTAATATTCTATATCACTCTACATGTTGCTCGCATAGCGTGAAACTCTGATGAGTAACAACATGTTGTTTTAGGTTCTGTTTTAATATTCTATATCGCTCTACATGTTGCTCGCATAGCGTGAAACCCCGAGTAACAACATGTTGCTTCAGGTTCTGTTTTAATATTTCTATTTTATAATCAGAAAGAAGGTCACAACTTAAAACTGTAGCTGGTAAATAAGAAAAATTTAAAACACCTGCTACCAAAAAAACCCAAATGATATCAGACAGAGGTTTGTTTTGCAGCGCCTTTTATTACGAAACTTAGACTTGTGTTTCATTTAAAGGGATTGTAAAAAGGTTTTCTTAACTTTGTATATATATTCCAGTTTTCAGTCAGGTGTCTGTGGTTCTTGCAATTCCACTAAAACTAAGTGTTTGATGATGTCACTATAGTAAAATCTGCTTACATTATATAAGTCCTTTGCGATAGTGCTGTCATCATAAGCTTAGTTTAGTTTGGAAATATAAATACTTACAAAGATAGAACTAATGTAGAAATAGGAAGAGATTCACTTTGTAACTCTGGATATTCAAATATATCATCTGATTTGACCATTAAACATTGTAAACCATTCTAAAATAGAACATTAGTCAAAAGATAAAATATTCACCAGGTGGCTAATTAATAACAGCAATAACTTTCAGGAAGTAGTGCTTGCTGAGGACCAGAGATCACTCACAATATTAAGGTCATTTAGTACCTTTAGATTTTTCAACCGTCAATTGTCTACAATGCAGTTTAGAGGGGCTGGCATGGAATGTGTCTAGTTATTCAGATGTGCTAATAGCTTGGTCAGTTCAAATAAAAATATAGCTTTCCACATCTTTGATCATCTATTACAAAATGGCAGACTGGGAAACCTCTGGTGAAACTTTTTTTGACCTTGTCTACATGCACACCCAAGGTTTTACAAGTCTTTTTTAGTGCAATAATATGAGCTTCAAATAGTGTTCATTCAAAATTCCCCCTATTGTACACAATAATTACACTTCCTGTCTATATTTGCCTACAGTTGCCTTCTATCTGAATAGCATTCTTACATTGGGATGGTTTCTATCATATGACTACAAGATAAATGGGTATATATAACTAAGTTAAAAATACCTGATAAACTTGATCTGGTGCAATATTAGATAATAGTTCTAATAATATACCATAGATCTGTCTCCATCTTAACGGCTACAAAAATATAGAAACAAGTCATACTGGTAGTCATACAAGTCATCTGATTTGATTGTCATTCTCCATTTTAAAGATCTGAGCAACCAATATAATGGCTAATCACATACTTGAACCTTTTTTTATATCTTTGTAAACCAACTCTTAGCCAGATTTTTTATTCTGAAAAGTGTTATGGATAGCTGGTAAAAAAATTAAATAGGTTACTACATCCTGTCAAAGACTTATATTTATATACTCAGTTGGACATGTTTTGCTGTCATAAAGCAACATTGTCAGTTGAAAATATTTAAAACTTTAACTCACGTCTGGCTTCCTAAAGTCACTCTCCACCACATCAATTTTCCTCTCATGAAAAAAACTAATAATTTCACTTAATTTTAACACAGGGAAACAATAAGACTGTGACATTTTGTTACCTGAAAATACAAAAACTACTAGTATTATTAGCACAACTAGAGAGTATCCCTTATTAAGAAAAAAAACTCTTGATTCGGTGAGTTAAGTCATATTGCAAGAAAAATCTTTTCTTTTTGTCTTTTTGGTTAGGCTTAAATTGTAAGTGGCAGATAATCAAGCTGTAGGCGGAATGGTATTAAAAAAATTTCATTAGTACAGTGAAAGTAAATAATTCATGCTGGCATGCAACCTAGATGTGGAACCACTTTTCGTTGTCAGTCTTAACTCAAATACTATCCATGATTGTGACTGTCGCTAGTGAGTAAATACTAACTGTGTGACTGTCAGTATCTGTCAGTTAGCCACTAGGCCTACTGCCCTAGCACTGTGGCACGACCAGGGTGGGACTGTCACTTGACTCAGTTAGATTCGTTTCACTGTACAGTAGAGTCTGGGAATGTAGTTTTGAATCAAGCCTAATAGCTTTGATCGATAGAAATCATGTGAAATGTCATAAATACTCACTATTATAAGAATCCGTTTTTTCAAAACAAACTCTCAAATTTGGCGGCCATTACCTAAATTTCATGGCGAAAATTGATGGAAACGAAAATATTTGACTGTTGTAACCATAGCTCTATGGTTGTATCAAAACATTCTTTCATGAAATCAAACAACGAGAATAAAATATTCTTTATATTTATCTTTTATTTCTTAATCTTTCTGTGTTAAAACAGAGAAATATGTTCGTTTTCTGTCATATTGATTCCAAAAATTAGAGTTACCTCCCTTTAATGGCTTATTTTTTGTGAAAATCACAACGTTCTTTTAAATTCGTGAAATTCGATTAACATTCCCGTGAAACTTGCAATCAATTATGAATTTGTCAAAAACTAAACAGGCACCTACGTCTCAAATTGAAGAATTCATTTTTCAGGATTTTTTGCTTGCCAGAAGACAGAATTGTCCCTCTGAAAATGTCACTTCTGATTTTGTGTTTGTTTTTGAAAATGACTCTAAAACTGATGCAACATTTGTTATGCATACAATGCTCAATTCTTATTTAAAGCAAGGTTTCAATGTTTGCTTTGTTTCTTTGACCCAGTCATTTGGTCATTATAATTCAGTGTCACAGAAACTTGGTGTTGATCTAAAATCACTAAGGGAATCAAAGCAGCTTGTGTTTGTAGAAGGTTTAAAACATTTGGGAAATAGCATAATATCACAAAGTGACAATGTTTCTATCGCAGAGACAGATGACTTTAGAAGTCTGATTTATAATAACAGTTTGTGTGAATTATATAATAACTTGATAACCTATGTTGATCAACTGGGCTCGGAGGGAAAGCCAGTGGCTGTGATGATTGATGATATTTCTATGTTGCTTAGTATCGGAGTGTTATCAAAGGACATTGTTTCCCTTTGCCATAGTCTCCAGTCTCATCTCACTCAAAGAAAACTTGGACCTTTAATCACTCTGTCTAATAATTATGGTGATGATGATGACTGTTTGTCTATGGTCAAGTTTTTAAGACATTTATGTACAGTATCAATTCAGATTTCTAGTTTACCAAGTGGTTATTGTAAAGATGTACATGGACAGGTTAGTTTTTATTTTAATAACCTAGAGTTACTAAAAATTAATTCAAATAGTATTATTGAAAGTGGCATAATAATCTTGCCAAGTATTCTGGTGTCTGGACTGGAACCACAAACCAAAAACGGCAGGGTGTAAATAGAACGGGATAGCTTTTATTGTCTCTGAAAAACTTTTTCAAATATATTCAAACACATTGTGCTATCATTAATTTTAGCTCTCATATTATACTGATTTATTTCCTCTTTCTGTGCAAGGTTCATTCTAATGATTGTATCTTTGACATTTCAGATGAAAATATTGCGAAGAAATCAGTTAGGTAGAAATAAAGCGATAGAGAGAACAGTACAGTTTAAAGTTAATGATAAAAATGTGAATTTATTTGCTGTCGGTTTATCTTTAGCTGTTTTATGATATTTATTAATAAATAATGAAAAATTATATAATTTTATTATCATGTTGTCTTGATCTATCAAGAGTAGGAGTTTTTGAAGTGATATATTTGCCCAGGGGGGTTAAAGAAAATGTTAGAATTTGCAACCTAATGTACAGAATCTGTTTTCCACAAAATTTGTTTCACTAAATCGAATTGATGGCGTTCAAACCCTGGCTAATCAAATCTAGTGGCAATGTGCATCTTTGATATACTAAAATGATATATATATATTGGTATGTATTGTAAGTGACATAGGCCATGCTCATTATTCTTTAACACTTGATGTCACTCTGCAACTAGATTCGTTAACTCATCACCCCCTGTGAAATGCTGTGATAAACATATTTGTTATCACAGTTAAAGATTTACAGCAAACATCTTGTATATCTTAGTAACTATGACAGACATATTTTCATTACCTATTATACAGTAACTGATTTACAACAAACATCTATTCTTCCTCATATTTAATTTATATTTACAATGACTTGTTTAATTATCTATACAGTAAATGATTTACAACAAACATCTAGTCTTCCTCATATTTAATTTGTATTATATTTACAATGACTTGTTTAATTATCTATACAGTAAAAGATTTACAACAAACATCTAGTCTTCCTCATATTTACATTTATATTATATTTACAATGACTTGTTTAATTATCTATACAGTAAATGATTTACAACAAACATCTAGTCTTCCTCATATTTACATTTATATTTACAATGACTTGTTTAATTATCTACACAGTAAATGATTTACAAGAAACATCTTGTCTTCCTCATATTTACATTTATATTATATTTACAATGACTCTTGTTTAATTATCTGTACAATAAATGATTTACAACAAACGTCATGTCTTCCTCATATTTACATTTATATTATATTTACAATGACTTGTTTAATTATCTATACAGTAAATGATTTACAACAAACATCTAGTCTTCCTCATATTTACATTTATATTATATTTACAATGACTTGTTTAATTATCTACACAGTAAATGATTTACAACAAACATCTAGTCTTCCTCATATTTACATTTATATTATATTTACAACGACTTGTTTAATTATCTATACAGTAAATGATTTACAACAAACATCTAGTCTTCCTCATATTTACATTTATATTATATTTACAACGACTTGTTTAATTATCTATACAGTAAATGATTTACAACAAACATCTAGTCTTCCTCATATTTACATTTATATTATATTTACAATGACTTGTTTAATTATCTATACAGTAAATGATTTACAACAAACATCTTGTCTTCCTCATATTTAATTTATATTATATTTACAATGACTTGTTTAATTATCTATACAGTAAATGATTTACAACAAACGTCATGTCTTTCTCATATTTACATTTATATTATATTTACAATGACTTGTTTAATTATCTACACAGTAAATGATTTACAACAAACATCTATTCTTCCTCATATTTACATTTATATTATATTTACAATGACTTGTTTAATTATCTATACAGTAAATGATTTACAACAAACATCTATTCTTCCTCATATTTACATTTGTATTATATTTACAATGACTTGTTTAATTATCTATACAGTAAATGATTTACAACAAACGTCTTGTCTTTCTCATATTTACATTTGTATTATATTTACAATGACTTGTTTAATTATCTATACAGTAAATGATTTACAACAAACGTCTTGTCTTTCTCATATTTACATTTATATTATATTTACAATGACTTGTTTAATTATCTATACAGTAAATGATTTACAACAAACATCTATTCTTCCTCATATTTAATTTATATTATATTTACATTGACTTGTTTAATTATCTATACGGTAAATGATTTACAACAAACGTCATGTCTTCCTCATATTTACATTTGTATCATATTTACAATGACTCTTGTTTAATTATCTATACAGTAAATGATTTACAACAAACGTCATGTCTTTCTCATATTTACATTTGTATTATATTTACAATGACTTGTTTAATTATCTATACAGTAAATGATTTACAACAAACGTCATGTCTTTCTCATATTTACATTTGTATTTTGTATTATCTATACAGTAAATGAATTACAACAAACATCTAGTCTTCCTCATATTTACATTTATATTATATTTACAATGACTCTTGTTTAATTATCTATACAGTAAATGATTTACTCCCCCAAATAGTTATCATTTTACATAGAGAAAGAATCGCCCGTGGCTCCTGCACTTATTGTTTCCTAGACCCGATCACACACCATGAACAGACACTGTGCACTTTTTGCCCTGCATTCCTTCTAAATATAAAGCTAAGATATTAACAAGACTTTTTCAACCAGAACAGTTACATTAAATTCCTGACAACAGAACAAATGTGAATGTCATATTTCATCTCATACAATATCAGATTTTTCTTATGAATTAAAGTGACAGATTCGCCATCTGCTTGACAAATAGTACCTTTCCAGAATTATCCTAGTTTGAAAGTTAAAATGACGACTCGTCTTTTTTTAAATTTCAAGTTCTTCTTTCTTTGTCTTTTCTGGAGACTCTGCCATATACAAAATACATAATTATATAGAAATAGAAAGCGTAATTCCTAGTTTGCAGTATGTTTACTCTTTTTCTAATAGTTTTCTATAAGACTATCCAAATCAAACCCTCAAAATGCCGAAGCTATCTCTTTAATATGAATCATACTAGAAACACCCTTTTGGTATTTTTCCATTAAAGCAAGTTGGAAAAATCGTACCTGAGAGGCAAGGAATTAGTCGGCTCGAGCTCTTTTGTTAAACACCACTTCCCATAAGACTAATAATTCTTTTATATTGAATTTCAAATCAGAGTTTCTTTACTTGTCAGTGATTTCATAAAGAAGGCTTATGAAAGCTGTAAATATAACCGGGGAATATTTCATAGCTGTCAAACACAAACACTGAAGTGAGCTTTGGAAAGTTGCCACATGGGTGGATTAATCTCACAAATCAACAAACCAATTCAGAAACTAAAATGTTGTCAATATTATTATTGCACACTACGGCACGAAACATTTATACAAATTGAATAAATAACACTTGAGACTGCCTACCTGTTTATGCCTAAACTATCATATTGTTCATGATTGTTTCCTCTATAGATGAATTCTAGATTTTAAAGGACTTGACTGTTTGGATGAATTGTTTTTTATGAAAGAAAAGATTATTTTCCATCAGAGAAAAACAAGCAGAACAGAACAAATTGATTAGATTTCTGGAAAAGGAGAAAGATGAACATGAACAACTATAGAGACAATTGCGACAGGCAACATCCGTTTGTTCATCCACGAGGACTAAATTCAGCCATTGATCATATTTCAAAACACGTCAACAGTTGCTGTCTGTCTGACCAGGATTTGGCATGGTTGACCAGGATTTGTCAAGATTGACTAGAATTAGGTTGAGTAGGATTAGGCAAGGTTGACTAGGATTTGGCAAGGTTGAGAAGAATTTGACAAGGTTGACTAGGATTTGGCAAGTTGACTAGGATTTGACAAGGTTGACTTGGATTTGGCAAGGTTGAGCATGGTACGGTTGCTCCATCATCCCCCCTCCTCTCTCTTCGCCCCCTACCCTTTCTTATCTCGACACCTAGAAAAAACAGAAACACAACATGTTTGTTTATTATGGGTACAATGGACAATACTGTACTATGATTAATTAATAAATGTGTTAAGAGACAGTATCTATAATGAACTGTTATTCCCTTGATATTATAACAACCACAATTCAATACATTTCTATTATAGTTATGATTACTATTCCGTGTCAACTTTGAAGAGCCATTTAGTAGGGAAGGCTAGAGTATCATAATGGTTTGTTTTTTTTATGAAAGAAAAGATTATTTTCCATAAAAGAAAAACAAGCAGAACAGAACAAATTGTCGATAGATTAGATTTCTGGAAAAGGAGAAAGATGAACATGAACAACTGATGACAACTATAGAGACAATTGCGACAGGCAACATCCGTTTGTTCATCCACGAGGACTAAATTCAGCCATTGATCATATTTCAAAACACGTCAACAGTTGTTGTCTCTCTTACTAGGATTTGTCAAGATTGACTACAATTAGGTTGAGTAGGATTAGGCAAGGTTGACTAGGATTTGGCAAGGTTGACCAGGATTTGTCAAGTTTGAGTAGAATTTGTCAAGTTTGAGTAGAATTTGTCAAGATTGACTAGGATTTGTCAAGGTTGACCAGGATTTGTCAAGATTGACTAGAATTTGTCAAGATTGACTAGGATTTGTCAAGATTTACTAGGATTTGTCAAGGTTGACTAGGATTTGGCAAGGTGAGTAGGCTTAGGCAAGGTGAGTAGGCTTAAGTAAGGTTGAGTAGGATTAGGCAAGGTTGACTAGGATTTGGCAAGGTTGAGAAGGATTTGGCAAGGTTATTGATGGTAAAGTCCCCCCCCCCCCCCTTTCCTCCTCCACCTCTAGGCTTGACATTCGGAGAAGACATAAACAACATGTTTGTTTATTATGGGTACAATGGACAATACTGTACTATGATTAATTAATAAATGTGTTAAGAGACAGTATCTATAATGAACTGTTATTCCCTTGATATTATAACAACCACAATTCAGTATTCCAAATGACGTCAAATAAAAGATATCTGTTTTAGAAATAAAAATTCGCTTAGATTTAAATCGTAAATCTACAAATTTACTTATAAATTTTACACCATTGCGATTAAGTTTGGTGCTGACATTTTTTTGAGAAACCCGAATATCTAGCTAGGCAGTCTGGCTTTATCTGTTTATCTGCATACGAACACGATGTGAGATTTACATTCTGAAAAGATATACAAATTGCTGAACATAAATCTCTATCAGCTGACAAATTTGAAATGAATTGTACGAATTGGTTGGTAATAGCTTGACATTATAGGATGACTGTACAGATAATTGAAATGCGCCCTAATACTGTTAAAGCATGTATTAAGACTTCATCAGCTTTAAGCTCCTC